AAAGAGCATCTCTGGCCAAGTGTATTAGCCAAGTGGGTAAGTGGAACTTTCAGCCGGGTCAGTGGAATTGCGTGGGATCAGGAAGCAATCCATAAAATAAAAAGGAAACGTTAAAGGCGATATCCGAGCCAGGCGAAAGAAACCTAAAGGCTGATGTTTTTGTTTTCGTTGTCAGGAATTTCTGGCTTAATCTCTTCGATTAAAGATTCATTTGGTCTCCGAGTATTTGCTGTGTTCTACTTGCTCACCCTCGTTGGAGAGCAGCTTTTCCCATCTAATTATCAATTTAGTGCAATTTGTTTCTTTGTCGAGGCAACGAAGGCATCTGCATATCTGCGATGCTGCCTTCTACTATATAGCTTGGCGCTTTCTGCCTGCCATGACTTAACAGCCTTAATTGGTTCTCATAATTCCAGACTTCACTGCTCTTTTCTCTCTGTCTGTCTTTTTGTCAGTCTGTTTGAGTGTGTGTTCTTGCTTTTAAACTATTAAAAAGTTGAGTTGCCTGCCGCAGATAAAGACAGAGCACAGCCCCATCAGAACGAGCTGCTTAATGGTTAATGCAAAGCAAACGCCGAGCACAGACCAGAGATTATCTACTGGAACTGCTGCTCCTTCTGTCTGTCCGTCTGTTTGTCTGTTGTTGCTGCACAAAGTCTGTCAATGAATTAAATATTTAATTTACAGGCCTTGTTTCTCGCTGTATGTGTCGTTAATGGTCCGTCACTGAGTTTCGGCCAAGAAACTTAAACCGAAGGCTTAAATGGCTGCTGCAAGTGAGGGGATTCTAAGCAGTTGGTAATTTACGTTCCGCTCTTTAAGTCAGTAGTTGTAGCATGTATTTAGCATTTGAATTTTCAATTGTAAGTATTATATTTGGTGCACAGGCAATCGGGATTCTCGTTTAGCTGCGAGCTCTGCGGCAAAGTTACATTAAATCTCATTTATCAAACTTTTATTCAGACAGTTACAGCTATAAAAGTTCGCCCATATGCCACACGCAGACTTTTTAATAAACTTAATTATTTGTTTCTGCTACTCTTTTCCCTTTTTCGCTTTTTTTTTACTTGTTTGGCTGTTTGTTCTGAATGAATTTGTTGCTGGTTTTGGTTTATAGTCAGCGTAATTGCAATGTTTTTCAACACTGGTTAACCCGATGGCGTTCGTAAATATATGAAATATTTATGGGGATATAAATAAAAGAGAGCGGCTGTGTATGTACATGATGCACATTCGGTAGATATAATAATTTAAATCAATTGCTGAGAAGTGCAATTAGCAGCCAAAGATAAAAATAAATTAAAGGCCTCCGCCAAACAAATGGCCCATAAGCGAGCAGCTAAATCCACGTATTATATATTTCTACATTGATATAGTATCTACCATATACTCGTATACTTATATACATATATATATATGTACATAATATGTATGCTTTTTTAATGGTTCTGTGCCCATAAATTATGGCGCATTTACTTTAGAGATAGAAAAAACTGCGCCGAGGCCAAAACGCTCGAGTCGATAAATGGATTGCGGTCGAGCCCTGAATCCTTTAATTTGAGCCGGCCACAGCCCGTGCCTGGAACCGATGGCAGAGTCGAGTCCGTGCAGCAGCCGCAAAGTCAAAGGCACATTTCAAATGTCGAAGGCAAATACTCCATCTGCTATAGTAGTCGTAGAAAAAAGTGCAAAAAAAAATGGGCCAGAGAAGGCATTAAAATGCATGTGTGTAGTCTGGAGAACTGGGAAAATATGGCCAAAGCAAATTGCTGACTGCGCCAGAGTTGAAAAACTTAACAAGTATGGGTAGAATTATAGAGGCTGTCGCCACACAGCATACCCAGCAATGCCATAGTACTCCCCAGCGGCAGACTTTGCTCAGTAAAATGTGAACAGAAATAAGCAGGAAATCTGCACCTGGATCTGAATGGAAGCTGATTCTATCCAACATTCAGTATTGAATCTTTCTGCCAGTTAAATTCAACTGACTGCCTCCCTTTATGCTGCTTAACCTTCTGTTGGCCCAGCATACCCCTTGTCCTCTGCAGCATCTCGTTCGGTCTGGGCCCTTGGCCAACTTGGCTGCTTCTTTTTAAATAAAGAGCAGCAGAACGCAAATATCATCGAATGGAATATAATTTATGTGCTCCATTTGCAGTCGGCAGTCGACAGTCCGCCACTCGCACACATATGCTGCCTAGCACTCCACTCCCCTCCACTCCACTCCATCCCTGCTCCGGTCTTCGGTCTCCCGCCAGGCCAGTGTCCCCGCCACAGTCGCATTTAGGGAACTTTTGCATATGCGATATCCAATGGCTGGCCTGCAAATGGAGTGGAGTTTGGTTTTGGTGGGTTGCTTGGTGCTGCCGACGCAGTTAGCGATTCCCAAGTCGCATTTTGGGAATTTCTGCCGTTCCGTTCATCTTTTTGGCAAGGTTGCGCCTCCGATCCATAAATATCCGTTGGTTGGCTCGTTGGTTTCCGAGCTGCTCAACCCTTTGCTAGAGGTTGCCCTGCCCTGCCCTGCCCGCTCTTGTGCGGCTATGCTTTCTGTATTTGCCAAATTAAATCGTTAAATGCTTGTTAAAAAGTTCGACTTGCCTCTGCCGAGTGTGGCTGTATCCCCGCACATCCATGTCCGCAGCCATATCGGTATCGGTTTCGGTATCTGTATCTGTATATCTGCATCAGTATCGTTTGAACCTGGGTTTCTGGGTAACTCGCCGACGCTTATGATTTATGCCAGCGCATGTTTTGTAGTTTTTGGGCACAGGTTGCCTGTTTTTTTTGTTTGCATGGCTGCCTCTTCGGCACGTAAATAAGGCAATGGCTAAATGGCCAAAACGGCCAAATGGCAAACTGGGCAAAAGGGTTGCGGCTCTTTGTTTCCTCTTTTTTTTTATTTATTCTCATGCGATTCCCTTGGCCTGGGGGCCATTAAACAATAAATTAAACGAAAGAGAAATTAAACTAAAGTCTCGGATTAGTCATCGATGATTGCGGCGGGTTCGCATGAGATGCCAAAGGAGAACCCAAAAGTTTCACACAACTTTTCAACATCCTTTGGGCAATAGCTACATATACATATGTACATATGTACATAGTTAGTCATGTGAATGGAGAAAACCTTCAGCGAGAATATGAATGGGAGTGGAGGATGATATGAACAGTGTTCATTCATACTTTATAGTTAGCATAAATCTACTTTTACTTTCCCATTCCCATTTCCATCATTTTCCATCTCATTATCGGAACAAGCGATCCGTTCGTAATGGGCATCCACTAAAAACTCTAGAACTGCCCATAGATCAACTGGGAACACGCCTCCGCCGCTCACAGCCGACTAACGATGAACGATCGGCCATAACTAATAATTGTTCCCCTGCATGCACATGCTCCCAGAATTGAACAGCTAATTGCTCCACCTGCATAGTTAATTGTTAGTCGAACCCAACATGACATCTATCATTTGTTGCCAGTTCCCTGTCCCCTGTCCCCTGTCTGGAGCTACTCCTCGATTAATACATCAAGATGTGAGCGGAACCTGCAGATGAATACATATAACATCTCCCTTTTGGGAGAAATGCAGCCAAAGCAAACATAACAAAACAAAACAAAAACAAAAACAAGACGAAACAGAAACAGAAAACGCTGTCACAATAAATTTAAATAAATTGTTGACAAACGCCAATAAACATAAATTTTTGGTGTGCAGCAAAGCAAAGCAAACTACGTCACGGCGGGGCGGGGCGGGGAGTGGAATGCAGACCCAGAGCCCAGACCCAGAGTAGGAGTGGGAGACGACTGCCGACTGGCGACTGGAGTACCGGAAACCGCAATGTCAATCAAAATCGTAAAAACACACAGATACCAAACGCGGGTCTTGGTCTGGCAGGGAGAGAGAGAGAGAGGGGTGCCTGCTGGGCTCCAGCAGATGAATTGCACGTGTGGCGCTAATTAGAAGAGTCGAGGCAGCTTTTGCTTATGCAAATGTAATACGTAATAACTCAATTAGATGTTGCAACCCCGCCCCGGGGCTCCTGTCGTTGCATGGGTCGAGCCGAGCAGTTTGATTGCCTCAATGCGGGCAACTGGCACATTGACCGAACTGAATGAACCGAATGGAACCGCAGAGCAGAGCAGCGCAGTGCAGCGCAGCGCTGCTCACATAGCTGGCCATGGCTATGGAGTGGCACTCGTACCCTCGACAGGGTTTTCAATTTTATTGATGTCCCGTGGCTTTGTGGCGGACAATTGTCGTCATCGTCATCGACATCGTCGTCACTTAATTGTAAGTGAAACTACGCTTTGTTGGCGCACTCCACAGTGACGGGGCGGCCACTCTCCATGTGTTCCATGTGCCCCATCTGCCCCATGTGTTCCCTGTGTGGTGCTCCATGTCTCTGGGCGTTCATTGTGCGAGGTCAACAACCAGAGCGACGACCACCACTCGACAGCCTGAGTGCTGTCTCTGCACATGACTCTCTCTCTCTTTCTCTCTTCAAGCCCCTTTGATGCAGCATTGCTGCTGCTGCTGCTGCTGACAAAATAGAGCACAATTTAATTGATACATTTGCATTTCACTCTAATGGTAAATGCGTTTGAATGCATGAATACTCGCATCTCCGCTCACCAATTGGTGATGGGAACATATTTATGGGTGCTTCAGAATTGGCCAGCTTTCGGTGGGCATCCGTGCCGAATGCCTGGCAATCAATGCGATGCGAGTAATTATCAATTATAGACCAAAGCGGTGTGTGTTTGTGTGTGTGTGTTTGTGTGTCCAATTTGTTCATTAAAAAAAGTCTTTACACGAGTATCTCTTAGCTCAAGCTATCAGCATACGAGCATGTTGGAACGGCACCATTAAACGCAGCTGGAGCTGGTGCTGAAAGCTGTGTTCTACGGATAGTTAAGGTGCCCGGTGTGCTGCTCTCTGATCAGTCAGATCGGTCGGCTGGCTATAGGCATAGGCGAACCCAACTGCAGCCGACACTCACATGACTAAGCGATCGCGCGATCGTGGCCGGGGAGAGACTTGCCTGTCGAGGTTGGGGTTCCATTGCGGATCACCTTGCCTACATACTCCATTTTGCGTGTGAAATCCAATAAGTTAGAGCCGACTGCAGGCTGTTTAGCATAGATAGGCCCAGAGACACAGATACAGATACAGGCTCAGACAGAGCACGGTCCACGCTCCACGCTCCACGCTCCATGAACCCCCCATGCTTGATGCATATCTACTCGTATGTATGTATCTATGTGTGTTCACTAAATTGTTTGTTGGGTGTGGCGCAAATGCACGACAAAAGTGTTCGTGTTGTTCCCAATGTTGCTCTCGTTGTTGCTGGTATTGTTTGGCATGTTGTAGTTCAATTTATGACGCTTGTCCCGCTTGACTTTTGCGCAGGCGTTGAAAGCCCAACAACGGGCAAACATTTCTGACATCAGACCGAAATTGAATGGAGCTGCTGCTGCTCTCAGTCTCCCCTCCCCATTTGTTGCTCCATTCTGCTGTTGGTTTTTATTCGATGCCGTGTTAATTTCTTTCCAACACAATACCAATACACGTCACCGTCCAGGTCACCGTCACCGTCACCGGTCACAGTTATGTTTGGTGTGTTTACAATTCCATTTAGTGTCTGACAAGTCGCGTCTATGCGATCTGTTTTGGGCATGACAAGTTGTACGATCGATTTGATATGTTTACATGGCTTGGGAAATTGATATGTCAAACACTCGTGTTCCCGTATTCCGTGAGGAAGTTGTTGCTCTCGAAATGTATTCGGTCCAATTCACACTGCAGACAATTCAATTACGTTTATCTATCTCGACGGTGGTGGGATACATTTTCTCTGAATTCCCTGACTCTCTTCTCTCGATAACTACGACTACGTTGCCAGCTTCGTTGACCTGATTCCCCCGCGTATGTATTTTTTATTACGCGTCTACATAGATTTCTTGGTTTCCCACACTTTTTTTTGTACCAATTGATTGCATTAGTTATACTTTCTGTTCAATCTGCAAGAGAACACAGATTCGTACAACCTATCCAGGGTCATTCGACTCCTATTTCATTTAACATTTAAGCTCGCATCAATTTGTGGCTAGTATGACTGCCAAAATGTATCTGATTCAATCGTTTGTGAGTCCTCAGTTCCCATAAGCCATCTCCAATGGCAAATCCATTACACGTTGATTGTTTTCCAATCCCCATTTCACACATTCGAGTGCTGCAATTGAGCCAATTCCCAGCAGCCGTCAGTCGATTTCAATTGTCATAATTACACCCACACGGAGCGTACTCCATGGTTCTGCCACTGCCCTGCCGCTGCCGCTGCCGCTGACGGAGCGGCTATCTGTTGGATCGCTGCCGCTTGTGGATCGCTGGGGCTAATCACAGAGCCGGGGCCATTGTTCTGACAAGGCGCTAAGCAGCCGCGACAGCTCAGCGATTATCTTCGACAATTATTTGTTGTTTTCCGCCGCGGCGTAACCTTGAAATTAAATATAATTATTAAGCAGCAGTCACATTCCCATTCTCACATCGAATTATATTTCATATGCTCGTAGTTATGCCTGCTGCCGCTGCCGCTGCCGCTCCCTCCCCCGGTGTCGACGACGACGTGCTTCAAATGAAAAATTATTTAAGATGCCGGCACACGCACACTTCAAAAACAACAAAACCAAAATCCGAGCGCCGAATCAATAAAATAAAAGCAACGACTGGTCGGTCCCTGGCCTGGCCCTGCCCACGGACTCGAGTCAAGCAGGCAACCTTTACAATATCTACTCGTAAGTATTTCGTTTTTATTTCCCTCTTTTTTGTTGTTGTATTTTTGCCCTGGCAATTATAATTAACTTCGCGGCAAGTTTTGATTTTCTTTTCTGTTCTCCGCTCTTTTCTTTCGCTCTGTTTGCGCCTCTTTTTTTGGAGTCGCAGCATCGACTGGCTCTGCCTCTCCGCTCAGGGGCTGATAACTTTGTTCGCACCTGATCGCGTTACTCCCAGATCGGGTTTTGTTATACATATGTATACACATACTCGTAGTATGTATGTATCTTGCACCAGAGGCCAAGCCGAGTCCGGGGCCCGTGCGTGTGGATCATTAACTGAGCCACAACTCAAACTCAGACTGGGCCGCAGTATTGGGATTCAGATTCAGATTCAACTGCGGTTGCGCACACGCGGCTAATTCATTAGGGCCTGGGATCCAGTCGGCAGTCGTCAGAGTCAGAGTCAGTCGGAGATTCCGCTCCGTCCGCTGGGGTTCTGGAAAACCAACCATTTCTCATGTGTCCGCCAGACAATGGGAACTTTCATTTGTTTGCGGGTTTTTACTTTTCATCCTCCAACGAAAGTACTTGCGTGACCCGCCCGCCCGCCCGAACCAGTTCAACTTCAAGTTAATAGGCCGGCTCTAATGGGTAAATGAATGCCGGGCCGAGGGAAAGGCAAGGAGATGCAGAGTAATTGGATTTCCAGTTGCAGATCAATAACAAGTTTTCAGTCGAGAGGTATTAGCTTAGCTGCTGTCGCCCAATTCCATCAGACTTAACTCTTAAATCTGGGCCAAATAGGCCAACGTCAATAAAAATGAGCGACCAAAGTTTGGGTTTGGGTTTACCTTTAAAATTCACAATGTCCAATGGTCGCCGTTTTTATGACAGTCCTCTGCCAAAAGGGAAAAGCTACAAAATGACACAAAGGAAACAGAAAACAGAAAACAGCGCCACAAAACGAAACGAAAAATGAAAAGGGGCTGCCCCAAAACATAAGCGGAAAGCGGAAGCAGGCAACTGGCAACTGGCGATGGAGTGGAAGTGGAAATGGAAGGAAAATTCAAATCACAAACTCGGTATTTATTTGCGAAGCGTAAATGATTACCACTTAAAATGTGCTCGACTGCCACCTAAAAACCAATTGTTGGAAAAAGCACAACACAGAACGAACCGGGCGGCCAAATACAGATACAGCGTGGGTGGGGGTGGGTGTGGGTGTGGGTGTGGGGGTGGTGGCGCCACACAGTAGGTGAAGGAGTAAAAGGACCAAAGGCAACATATGTTTTTTATGCCTGAGCTGTCTAAGTGGATACGGGCAGGAGCAGTACGAGAGTTCCCGTGGAGAGCGGAGTGTGGGGAGTGGGGAGAACACGTCGAAAGAGAAAACTGCGGGACAGCTGCCAGAGCTTGTTAGAGTCGCCCGCCCCCAAAAGGGGCAGGGGGCAGGACACTAAGGTATATGGGGACTTTATAAACGATTGGCTACATACATACACATACACATGTACATGTACATGTATGTGCACCCGCAGAGGTTAGATAGGACACGGAAATTAGAGGAAATAAAGGAGCACCGCACAACGACAGTGGAGGGCAAAGGAGAAGCTAAAAAAAAAATCCACATCCCAGAATCCCAGAAACCCGCGTTAATCTTATCCTGAAAAGGGCACCATAGATGTACGTGCACCACAACAGAATTGGTAATTATAGACACTCATGCTGCAGAGAAAGAACTACGAGATCCATGTATAGGTATCTCAACCATATACTCGTACTCTATCTCCGTATAAATGGGCTACAGGACTGTGTGTCTATAGAGTACAATCGCAGGCGACCAAGGCCGGCCATTGTATTCCATCTGCTCGGCAATTTCATATTTATCCATTGTCGCCATAACTTCTTGTGCTGTGCACTTTAAGTCGCCGTATAAGCGAAAGCGAGAGTGGTTAAGCGAGGGAAGCGGAGAGATATACAGACAGAGACACGCAGACAATACAAATATGTTAATGTATCTTCAGCACAGCGACACGTATTGGTTTCAGTCTGCCATCGTTAGATCGTACATTCATATATATATATATACGTATACAGCCGTAAGTATTCGTATGAGTGAGTTATTCCATGGGGGTGCTTGGATGGGCCAACAACAAATGGGCGGCCTGTGCCGGCGTCGCCTTCTTCCTGCCTTTTTATGGTCGTCACGGACCGCCCGCTGCGGGGGCAGGACGCACAAAGGATTGGGGGCCAGATCCACCCACATTGGTGCACGCCCCGCTCGCACATTATTTTGCCACTTCTTCAGCTGAATTTGAATTAGATTTGTGCAGCGTCTGGCGCGCGTCTTGGCAGCGTGTAAAATAATATATTTATTTTTATTTGCCCCCTTACAAACACACCCACACACCCACACAAACACAGTGAAAGCCCCCCTCTCCACGCCACACAAAAAAAAAAAGGGGAAAAAGCGAGTCCGAGACCCCGGGACACAAAAAGTGTTTTGTTTTCCTTTCAATTTGTATTTTTATTCTTTTCATTTGTATTATTTTTGTGTGCTCATGAATAAAAAAGGAGTAGGAAGCGTCGGCGTCGGCGTCGGCGTTGAGCGACAGCGATAGATGGCCCCAAAATTGTATAGCTTAGCCCTTTTGTGTGTTCGGCCCCAAGAAAAGTTAACAAATTTTCGCATGAATATTTCGCCCTATGCTTCTTTGAGGGGTGACCGGCGCGAACGGAGAGCGGAGAACAGAGACTGCAGACCAGCGACGACACTCACAGGCCCCAGATCCTTCCCAACCCATGTTTCGGGCATGTTGACATTGTTTGCTCCTGACAGCAAAGTTTTTTGAGGAATTTGCTTTTAATGGACAGCCCAGACATCGACTGGGACTCTGACTCTGACTCTGACTCCGACTCCGACTCTTAATGCCACCGCCACTGATGACGACGGGCGTGAACTTGCCATTTAAATAAAGCGGCGGGAACGGAAGTCTATTGATTTTCTTACGGCTCAGTCTTCTTCACCGCGCACTGACTGGGCTTAAAGGCAGCGAGGGCCGGCTTTAATCAAAATATTTAGTTAAATGGCAGGCAGCAAAATTACTTCATCAGCGCTAACAACGCTCTGGCCGGCACTCTTCAAAGGCGGATTGAACGGATCCGGAGCAGGTCAGTGCATAGCGGAGCGGCGGCGGCGGTGGCGGTGGCGGTGGCGGCAGCAGTTCAAAGTTCTCAGAGGCGGCAACTTTCCAATTTTCACTGTGTTACCTAATTTTAATTGTCATGCCACCTGATGGCCGGCCAATGATGAGGCATCAAACTCATTCTCAGCCTCAGTCTCAGCCTCAGTCTCTCAGTCGCTGTCTTCGTCACCGTCTAGGCCGCTACCTGTCCACAAATCTGGGCATAGATCCCATCCAGATCAGCCTCTTCTTCGTCTGTGTTGGCCATTGTTTGTTTTGCTGTTTTTGTGACCTTTGTGAGTCGGTAGCATACCAATGCAATGCAATGCCATGCCATGCCCCAGCAGAGATTGGACAATCGCCGAACTACTTACGACCGACGATTTCCTCTTCTAGCCCTCTTTTTTTTTTGTTTTCTTCCCTGTGTCGCTGCGCTTTTGTGGTTTGTCGCTTGTTCGGCGGGGGCTTACAGTTCCGATAATTCCCGGAATTTAATTGCCTTTTTTTTTGTGTTGGCTGAGCTACTAGAAAATTGCATTGCCTGTAAACGGCAGAGCAGAGCTGAGCAGAGCTCTTTGGCAAATGGCCCGCAGGGTTTTTTTTTGGTTTGGTTTTGATTTGAATGGAGGTTTTACGGCCGATCAGCCAAACAATGGCTCGGAAATTGCAAGAAATTATGGGAAATGAAAAGATGTTGCATCTTCTCAAGGATTTCAGTTGCAGTCTCTGTGGTTGGGGAGTGATTTATGGACCGTCGCGCCGCCAGCCAAAAGCAAAACGAATGCCATTCTGCCGTTGGTGCTAAATCTTTAGAGTAAACAAAGTGCTGGCCCAGATGTACCATCTGATGTACCATTGGAATGTGAAAATATATATGTATGTAAAATATAGTAAAATTTCCAATCTTATGTAGATGTTAACTACTTGAATTTTGGTTGAACTCCCAGTATCCTTTGGCTACAGTTCTTTGTCACCCCCCTGCGAGTCGGCGGTGCATGCAACCAAAGCGAGTCGTAAAACCCGGGTTCACCTTTTTTAGTTGCTTGCACCTTGCAGCCTGGGACCCTGCCTGGTGGTACCCTGCCTGTGTCTATACATATCAACACCCTCGAGCGGGGGCCTAGAGCAGGGGAAAGGTTGCCATTAGCAGTACATTTCATACATTTTGTAGTGCACATAAAATGCTCCGTTTGCCGGCGCTCTGGCTGTGGCTGTTGCTGTTTGTGTAAACTGTTGACAGGCAGCGCCACAGTGGAGTAGAGGCTAGAGGCGGGGGCTGGGGCTGGGGCAGGGGCTGCTAAGCAAATGAGCTGGAGTCGTAAAAAAGACAATTGAGCTCATATATTCTACACGTTGGGCTGCGTTGACAGATCGTAAAAAGCCGTCAGCTGAACGAACAGCTCCGCACCCGTCGATGCCAAAGACTCCCACATAAATATCAAGATCCGAGCGAAAGGCCTCGTAAAAAACGCCACCAGATACCAGACACTAGACACCAGAGACGGAGACAGAGACTACACTATGAATGAGCCAGGGACCAGGCAGCCATCCTCAACTGGAAAAGGGGCAGAATATTATAGAATGGAAAAGAACGAAGTGGTCCTCATAATGAAGAAAACAAAAATTGATTAATCTCATTAATAAAATGCCAACCTGCATGGTCCGTGCAATCAACGAGCTGGGCTGTGGCTGTGGCTGGGGCTGGGCCCGGGGCCGGGTATTTCCATTCCCCAGTTGAGACAATAAAAAACGCAATCGTAAAATATTAGAAAAATTCTGAAAGAGCATATGACTGCGAGTATTTTAGGTGGGTTGGGTTGCAGCCACACGCTTAATGCATTTTATGGCCAAGCTTTGGGTTAATTTCCCCCACGAAGGGGGGGTTCAACTGTCACCGGGCATAAATTTCAATAAAACCCAAACCAAACCGAAAGAAAACTGAAGCTAAGAGCCGAAATTCGGGCATAATTTTCATAATTTTTTGTTTTCCTTTCCAGGCCGTTTTCTAGCATTTTTTATTGCGCAATAGTTAATTAAAATTTCAATACTAAAATGTTTACTCATTACGAGAGGTCTTATCAGAGCGCCCAAATCATCATCATAATAATCGGAGGGCCCATTAAAGGCCAACATTTCCAACTTTGACTCACAAATGAAGCAGCGGCAGCCGCAACGACTGTGCCACTGGGCAGGTGATCGCAGCTCATCGATGGGTGAACAAATGTTGTGGTTTGTTTCTGCATCTGCAACCGAAATAAATAAGCGAATATAATGCACATTATGCTGAATTAGATATGTGCGGAGATAGTGGACAACAAAAAGCGCTTCATTTGCGGATCAAGGTGAGGCGATTTAATTAATTGAAGCTGTCCGGCAAATCAAATCATTTGGAATGCCTTATGCCGTATGTTATGCGGGCTGGGCTGGCGATTCCAGTGCTGATATGGCATGGAGCAGGGGCATGGGGCATATTAATTGTTCCTCATTGTTGGAGATCTGCAGTCAAGGCCTTTGGGAAGTGACCCAAAAATCCACGGAAAGGGAAAGGAGCTATTGGACTACTACTACTACCACTATGGGACTATCGAGCCATACCTGCACTGTGGCTCTCACCCAAAGATGTGTCGTGGGACCATCGGATATCAGAGATTGTTTTCTTTCTATTCATCATCCTCCTTAGCACACAAAAACTTTAGCCGTTTCCCTTTTGGGCCCACTCCCCAAAAGGAATAAAAAACTTTACTAATAACTGCGTTCATATTTGGTCTTTAAACTTTCCACGCAGCCACAGCTGGCCCAACGGTGGTTTTCATTGGCTTAGTTAACCTCTATTATTAGCCCCAACAAACAATGACCCAAGTCGATGCCAAAGCCGCAGCTTTGTGGGCTCATCTCGCCCATTAAGAGCCCATAACCCATAACACAACCCATCTGCGATAATCAAACTGGTCGCAGAACGGGCCTGCCTGTATAGATTTTTGTGTATCGGCCATATCAATCAATGGTCAAGTCGCTTCTCTGACTTGGCCCCTAGATGCTTATCGGCAACTTAATAAATTTCTCCGTGGGGGAGTCGTCGCTCAGTCTCACTCTCAGATTTTGGCTTGAGCTGTGGCTGTGACTGTGGCTGTGGCTGGATCTGTGATTGGCATTCGATTTTAAACGGTTTGGCTACGCGTGCTGATTTTATAACGTTTTTTCTTTCGTTTGACATATAATTTTTTATGAAATCAGAGACCGAGGGACAGACAGGCAGCTTTTTTTTTGGTCAAGTTAATTTGTTGTCTGAGCTATGCTTGGATTAGATCTCTCTCGGAAACTTGTTTCATTGGCGGATCTGTCATATCGCTCAATCGATTTGATGCTGGCCATACAATACTCTACGATGGATGGAACTGACAGGCAGGGGCAGGCAGCGGGTTCTTGAGCAGGCACCGGCACCCCCGATTATGCCATAGGCAGTCCATGCTCCACTTTTTATGAGGCCCATAAAGTTAGTTCAGACGCACAAACACACCGGCCATATAAACATTTATGGGCTTTATTTAAATAAAAATAAGCATAGTTAAACAC